TACTTCCCTCTCATCTTACTATTAACTTTCCTTTTTTACAAAAGAAAAAAAAAAAAAAAAAAAAAAATTGGTGCCAGTGTGTGAGAATTATGATTACATATTTATACATAATTTTATAATAATAATAATTTCATTATTATTACTTATAAATAAAATGCTGTAATTTTTATTTCAGTCCATTTAGGCCAGTTACTACTGCATTTATGACTAATATTTGGCTCAAAATTATCAAAATGGTCAAAATGATCAAAAGTTACTTTTTTCCCCCTGTGGTTACACAGAGCACATTGGTTTCTTAAATAAACAAACAAACAAAAAAAAATCATTCTTAATTTTCTTTTTGCTAGGCCTATATTGGCAGGCCAAGGCCAAATCTAAACTATTGGCCTGAATGGGCCAGCAGAAATGAAAATCCATATTGTTGAGCCCTGTTTATGAACCTTTAAACTGCTAATTATTTTAAATAGTGTGCATTAAAAGCAGAGGAAGTATGATTTTGGGAAAAAATGTGATGTGTGTGTGGATACGGTGTCAGAAAGCTGGCACTGTCAAAGCTCAGTGGTCTGTGTCTCTCTGGTGGTGGAGAACATTTCTGTGGACAGTCAAGCAAACAGAGACAGAAAGAGAGAGAGAGACAGAGAGACAAGGCAAAGGAGAGAGAAAGAGATATTACATAAGCATTTGCATATCTGAATATACTTCATGTGACTCTGATGACTCAACTAATGTCACTGTTTCTGCATTGACAAACACACACACACACACACACACACACACACACATGCATGTTATTATTAGTCCAACCATTTTCTAGTATATTTACTGTCTTCACTAACAGCAGATTTGCAATCAGAATTCCCATCATTTTCCTACCAGATTTAATTTCTTTTATATTTCCCTGTGAGCGCAAACTCACCTTATGTATAAGACTATTTACACATACACACACACTCACAAGCCTGAACATGTGTACTTTAACACAGTCCCTGTCTACGTTTTAACTGCAACAGCTTGGCCTACTTTTAACATCACAACATAAATAATAAATATTAATACAGCTCTGTTGATCTTTGCATGTTCTGTGCATTTATGCACATCTCCACACATGCTTAGTTTGCATGTAAGCATGTGTGTGTGTGTGTGTGATATGACATAGTCAGGAATCCATTTTGTCATCCTTGGCTGTTCCTGCATTTTGTGAGAGGGAATAAGGCAGCGGAGGGTCATGTGACCTGTGAGCGGAGACAGATCAAAGTGTGAGAGCATGAGCGTCTATGTGTTTGAGATTACATGACATGGAACGGAGAGAGAGATTTTGACTTTAGATGGAGTGCTTCTGGAAACCTGAGCTAGGCAATGGAACAGCATTTTGGATGAAAATTCAGTCTATTTAGGCCTGTTACTACTACATTATTGATTATTATATGGCCCTTTTCATTATCAGAATCAGCTAACATGCTTAAAGGGATAGTTCACCCAAAAAAGAAAATTACCCCATAATTTACTCACCCTCAAACCATCCTAGGTGTATATGACTTTCTTCTTTCAGACAACTTTCTAATTTGTGACCGGTGTTTTGCGCTCTCCTCTGCACTTCCACATTCGTCACCTCTCACCGGACAACAGTTAGCGGAATTACCATTTATACGGTTTTAAATATGGATATTTATCTTACAAATATGCATTGATTCACTTCAGGAGGCCTTTATTAACCCCCCGGAGCCATGTGGAGCACTTTTTTTTATGAAGGACTGGCACAGTTTATTGGACTTCTACTGGACTATTGAATATCACCCATTCACAGCCATTATAAAGCTTGGAAGATCCGGGACATTTTAAAATATAACTCTGATTGTATTTGTCTGAGAAAAGAAAGTCATATACAGCTAGGATGGCTTGAGGATGGGATTTTATCTATCAGGAATTGATTAGATTGTTAAAAAAAAAACTTGATAATTTGAGCCAAAGAGAAAGTGACATTTTACATAAAACTCTTTATTTAGCTTTTCTATGGGTTATAAAGGGAACAAAAACAAGACTAAAGACAATATAATAATAGTAATAATAATAATAATACATAAAAAAAAGACGTGGGTGCTACATCTACATGGTCTATTCATTTAATAAAAAATGTTTTTTACATAAAAATGTTACATTTCACAAAATTTATTTTGATAAATAACTTACATTTTTTTTGAATAATATAAAAGCATTAAATTGTACATAAGATGACAAATATAAATAATATAATGCAAATAAGCAAAATTCTAATGTAAGCAAAACTATAATGTAAATAACCTCAAATCACATTTGTGCATTGACTTTTTCTTAAAAAAAAAAAAAAAAAACATGATTTAATCTGGGCCATGAAGAGATGAGACAACATCTTTGATGTTCTGCAAATTCCTACATTTTATGACAGCACCCCTCCCCTCCTCAGCCACAGCTATATTTTAACAAGACTCTGAACATGTCTAATCTCATCACTGCTGCTTATGTAACCAAGCCGTTCTTCGAAACCACTTCAGATTCGCTCTGCCCTCAGAGAGAGAAGGATCAGGAGAGAAGCACAAGCATCAACTGCAGGGAAAGGCTATGAAGTCTGGGAGATGTGTTGCTTTTTTAATAAACATATTTAAAATAGATTTCATGCAATGTGGAGCCATTCGTTCCATACAAAAATTGTCATTTCACCTATTGCACAATATTCACACACCATACAAAATACTCATGATAGAATTTCTGGAATCATTTTTACTGTTATTTACACATTCAATACCAGTTCTCAAATTATACTGATTATTATTTAAGCGACATAACTGTCATACATACAACCATTCAAAAGTTTGGGGTAAGTAAGACCCCAAGTTTAAAAAAAAATTTTTTTTTTAGGAAATTAATACTTTAATTCAGCAAGGATGCATTGGATTGATCTTAAGTGACAGTAAAAACATTTATAATGTTACAAAAGATTTCTATTTCAAATAAATACTGTTGTTTCAAACGTTCTATTCACAAAGGATTTACTTTTACACAAAATATTAAGCAGCACAACTGTTTTTAACATTGACAATAGTAAGAAATGTTATTTGAGCTCCAAATCAGCTTATTAGATTGATTTCTGAAGGATCATGTGACACTGAAGATTGGAGAAATGGCTGCTGAAAATTCAGCTTTGCCATCACAGGAATAAATTACATTCAAAAATATATTCAAATAGTTATTTTGAATTTTAGTAGTATTTTTGATCAAATAGAATTTTTGATCAAATAAATGGAGCCTTCTGCCTCACTACATCTGTGTGTACATTTCAGCTTGTGGGGTCATTGGGGCCCATCGACAGCACGTCCGTTTCGGTCCCCTGTTCTGATTGCGTCCCTTTAACCACAGCTGCCTTCCACAAGCCTGACCTTTCACCCTGAAGCACACAAGGCCAAGGCAAATAGTGGTCATCCAACCTCCCTGTCCACGCCTCATTCCCCTCACTTCCAAATCACATATGAGCCCTAGAAGCAAGACCAATGACATGAGGAGCAAAGGGTTACCACAGTGATAGTTACCCAAGCTCCTACTTCTCACAAAACAAATCATCATCACGCTAGTTTGACAGGGGATAACAGTCCAGCCATCCAGATGAGCTGCGTTCATGAGCATCCACAATCGCATCTTTCTGACAGGTGTGGGCGGTCAGCGTTTGACAGTGGACAGCAGTTTGAGAGCAGCAAAGAATGAAAAAGAGTGGTTGGAAATGAGACAGAAGAGCTTCTGGAGATGTGATGGGGAAAAAGGAAAATATTTTCTGAACTAAATTTAATTATGCATTTACGTACATTATCGTTCAACATTTTGGGATCTGTATGTTTTTAAAAAGAAATTTACATCCACAAAGGCTGCATTATCTGATCAAAAATACAATAAAACTACAGTAACAACAGTAACACTATAAAATATTATTATATTTTAAAATGTTCATTTTAAGAGACTTTACATGTAATTTATTCCTGTGATGACAAAGCTCAGTTTTCAGCAGTTTTTACTCCAGTCTTCACAAATCATTCTAATATGCTGATTTGGTGCTCATTATCATCGATGTTGAAAATGGTTGTTTTGCTTAAAATTTATGTGGAATCCGTGATACATTTTTTCAGTATTCTTTGATGAATAGAAGGTTCAAAAGAATGGCATTTATTTAAAAATAGAAACATTATAAATGTCTTTACTGTTACTTTTGATCAATTTAATGCATCCTTGTTAAATAGAAGTATTAATTTCTTTTACTAGCCCTAAACTTTTGAACAGTAGTGTATCCTTATTTCTCACTAATGTCCCCTCTAACACTTAATATAGAAAAATGACATAAACCATGAATGAGCATAGAAAAAATCATTCATAAATAAAAGTAAGTAACATTTTTTTTTTTTTTTTTTTATAAAAATAAATTCTAAAAATGCAAATGGTTCTCTTGTAGGGCTTCTTGTAAAATAATTATACTGAACTAAAACAATAAAAGTCTATGATATGTCCTCATTTACATAGCTAAGTTAAAGGGATAGTTCACCCAAAAATGAAAATGACCCCATGATTTACTCACCCTCAAGCAGTGTTAATTTCTTTGACTAATAATTTGTCAACAACATTTTTGTCACCGACGACGAGACGATAACGAACTAAAACTCTTTTCAAATGACAAAAACTATGACGTAAATCTATTGACATTTTTGTCAATGAATAAAAACGAGACGAAAATGTTAGGGAGGGACGATTTGGGAAGAGATTCATTCAGAACGAATTTGCTGCGTGGTTCGTAGGTTAGATGCGTACATATGAAATGGCGGGACATAAGCTAACATACACTTGCTGTCCCCATTAGATGCAACAAATGCCTCGTTTATAATGGGTTTTATTGGTTTTGTCTCGTCGCTCCGGGACACGGCATCACAGTATGGTAAGGGGCGTAACATTTCTGTCACACGCTTGAGGTATTCGGCCAATCACAATGCAC